GGGCTCAAAGGGCGATTGCCAAAGTGCCCCAGTGATCATGACGGTCATATATATTGATCCACAGTGTTACAGCTGCCGTTTTGGCCGCTAGTAAAAGTTACTACAAAGCACGGAGCACTTCCTGTCGGCTCGGAGTCATTGCGAGGCTACCCAGCCGACCAATCACAGTGCTTACGGTCCACGTCAACTTGACGTATAGTTAAATTTTTGAGGATGTGCATGTCAGGCGACGGTAGCCTCTGCGTAGCCCCGTAACCTACGCTGTCGATTCAATGCAGAAGTATAAATTACACTTGAAGGTCTGGTCTTACGAACTGCCAGCCTCTGAGACCCTCATAGAGCCTCTGAAAAACCAGGAAATAAGGGATGCCCATTCAGTGTTGAAGCACCAACACGAACTGCATTAATTGCCACCATCATCTCTCCGGCAAGCCTAGATCCGGGAGGCCGTCCCTTTCAGGGGCCAGGCTACCAGCCTGAGTCCCGCTGAGAAGGGGTGTCGCCTGCCTGGGACAGCAGGTCCCTCCTGAGGGAGCTCTCACGGCATCCAGTGCAAGAGGAGCGGGATTGCTGAGAACTATGTCATGTTTGGCCAAAGAGCCTCCATTCCCCTGGCTAGGGTTCAATGAGTCCTGGCACATGCACCGCTCTGAGTGAGCAGAAGCGGGGGGTGCCTAAAGCCACAACTTGGTTGCCAGTTTGCAGAGGACAGGGGAGCCCAGCCCCCCTTGCCTGTTGGTGTAGGCCGCTGCCTCAGTGCTGTCCGTCTTGACAATGACGTGATGACCTCTCAGTCTGGGCAGAAACTGGAAAAGTGCCAGCTGCACGACTCCAAGACGTTGACATGCTGAGTCACCCAGAGGCTGTTCCAACTGTCACTGACCCTGCAGCCATCATGGACAGTGGCCCACCCTGCCTGGGACGCATCTGTGAAGACTAGTCGGCAACAATCCACTGGTCCCAGTGCACTTCCTTTTGCTACATTGGTTGAGTCCTTGCTAGGGCAGGTGGCCTTGCCAAGCTGGAGGGAGAGACCAGAGAAGAGAGGGTTTGATCCATTGGAAGGCAACCTGCTCCCTGCCTTGCACGTTCAATAACCTCCTGCAGGATCTAGATGACTTGTGTGTGGTTGACAGTGAGTGGAACTGTTTACACAAGAGATCCTCAAAGTCAGGCAGAAGAGGGACCTGCACCGGTGTGGAGCGCACTCTCATCGAACCGAGAGGGGGTTGCCATCAGGGTTTCAGGAGGGGCCTTTCCCAGAGCTGCAACCGTCCTGCTGAGAAGCTGGTCGAAGCTATTAACCGTCTAGTCACCACCAACGTGCACTGCTATGTTCTGCCCGCTGAACAAGTTACTGTCCTCAGAGAAGAGCACATCCACATCCTCCTCCTCCAACACAGAAATGGGGTGAGGAGGGGGGTTCACAAAATAGGTCTGCTGAAGGCTCAAGAACAGAGAGAGGAAGGGAAATGTGCCAGGATCCTAAACACTCCACTCCGTCTATTCTAGTTTCAGCCTCTTCTTCTCTGTCTTCACGCACGCCATAGCTCAGGTTGAGATCGGTGATGTCACGCCGAAGCAGGTGCTTTATAGGTAAACTGGGTGGCGTGGCAGGGCAAGCCGGTGTGTCTTAATGAGGTTTTCATGTACCTGACCTTGGGGAATCATCCCCTGGACATATGGAATATGTAACAGTGGAGAGATAGTCGCGATACAATAGAGAACGCTGGCGCTGCTGTACAAATGAAGGCACTGTTTCTTTTGATGATTAAAGGTGTAGGTACATTCTGTATTCACATAATGTGTTAAAAGCATAAGGCATTAAACATTTCATTATGAAAAGATCCAAAGCAAGCAACATCAGGGAATATGGGTTTCAAAGCCTTGCAGCCAGATTACATGTGTGAAAGTTCATACCTTTTTCTGGCTCCAGAAGAGTAGGTGGTGTTAAGTTCAGACACTCTACCTGCTTGGTAAACTCTTCCAGCTCAGCAGCAGTCACTTTATTTCTCATGCCTGGGAGACAGAACAAGTTTATGCAAAGGAGCTTAGTTCATTTAGCTAAAAGCACCGCTGTCGCTACAGTGTTACAGAGCCGCCCGCATGGCTGTATGCAGTGCAGTATGATGATTCATATTCATACAGTACATTGTGAGGCAGTATTCAGGTCCTTCATTTAAAATACTATTACTAGTAAAGATTCCTTTAATCAATATCCTACTCAAGTAAAACTACAGAAGCATTATCAGTGAAAGTAGCCCTACGTAAAGAATCAAAAGTGAAAAATGGCCTTCAATGTAATAATATATGTATATATATATATATATATATAAACTCATAGTTGTCAAGTGGTTCTCAACCTAGGGGTCGAGCCCCTTTAAAGGGTTATAAAAAAAAAATAAACCTGAGGAGTCATGAGATGCTTAATTGAGTTGCAAAGAAAGACTAAGTTCAGCAGTAAACTGTATTTAACTTGAGTAACTTGTAAACTTGTTACTTTCCACCACTGCCAACCCTATGAGATGTTACACTGTGTATACCAAGATAGCTTAATATATGGTTGTATTTGATCACCATGTATAATAACATTATTGGATTTACACATTTTTTTCGTCAGTATGGTGAAGTACCTTGGTTTGATCTAATTCACTGGATTAGCAGAAAACAGACATGTGGATGTTTCATCTGTAGAGGTTATCTCACCTGAGCTTCCAGAAAAAGTATTGCATCACAACACAGATTTCAATACAGAATTACATAATGGTAAAAGTGACAGAAAATTATAACCATATGGTCCACCCATAGCCTGACTTTTAATACAGTGTGTAAACTCTCAGATGTCAGTGCACAACCATTTCAAAGTCATTCCATTGAATGAACATCGTCAACTCCGTTGAATATCTTATGAATTATTTTTAAGGTAAAAGTGAAAACATTTCTTCAACATTAATTTTATCAGTCTGTACGTCTCAAGTCTTACTCGCGAGCTGGATACCACTGTATGTGCTTCCTCCAATGGTGTATTTTGAGTAGGAAACAAGGCAGTCGGGGCAGCCAGTATTCAGTAGGACCGTAGAAGTAGTGAAAGGTTTCACTGCGGATACATACATACATACACATCAACACTTGCACTTGCAACACTGCAAAGTGCTGTTGCAATGGTGGACACAAAGTCCAAATCTGTTTTTGCAGGCACACGGTCAGTAAAAAGGTTTGTACAGGATGTTTAATCAATACTCACGCATAGAGAGAGTGTTGTTTTCCAAGGTCATCTTAATTATGAGAGTGAAGCAGCGGCCGAACATTTTACAAGTAGAAATTACACACTGAATGTTTTTCACTCACTTATTAATAAACACTTCAGTTCCAAAAAACAATTATTATTATAATTATAAATAATTTATTTAAATATACATTTTTTGAGAATGAATAGCATTGATGGCACCACTCTCGTTAGCAGCAGTGATTTCCCCCCAGGCAGTCTCCACAAACATCTTTGTCAGAAAATTTGATCCGGGGATGTTTGTGCTTTCTGCTAAATACGTCCACTTGCCCAGCAGCTGAAACAAACAGTGTCTCCCTCAGTTGCATAAGATGTACAAATGATCACATTAAAGGATAGTGTGATTCTTTCAAAAATGAAAACAAAAAAGATCCAACATGCAAAAAGTGAGAGTGTGAGAGAGGAGTGACATGGGAGATGAGACAGTGTCTCTTACCTGCTCTCTTCCCTGGATTTCAAGAGGTTGGATTAGACTCTCACAGCTGCTCACAGGAGCTGACTGTCCGACAGACAGAAGACTGAGCACAGCCACAGCAACGTGAAAAAAGCCTGTCATGGCTCGTCACAGCTACTTAGACAAAGATCCTAAATCTGTGTATCTTTGTGTGTTGTACTGTTCAAAGCTTGAAACTGACTGTGTCTGCTTAGCTAAAACTGGTGCATTGATGTTCATATAGATGCTCATCCCACAAGGTTAAAGTCCAGTTTGAAACCAGGAAGGCAGATCCAAACAGGCAGACCTCTCCAAAAGGGAGTCATTCACGGAGGCAGTCTCATACAGGTCAGCCAGGCAGAACAAAAGGCTGAAAAGCCACATTCAGACTACACAATATCAGCCCATTAATAGCCTGACCGGACAGACGGTATCATACACACTGCTATGAAAGACATTGTTTGTTTATATTCTTGTTAGGTCAAGAAGGTCCAGAAAGATGGCAAGCTATGATTGGTCTGGGCCCAAGGTGTAGTCTGTCATGTCTCTCAGGCAATGTCCCAAACAATCTTGTGGCACATTTCGAATGTAAATATGCCTAACTGCAGGGCTGATGAGGGAAAGTGTGTGAGTAGGTAGAAGGTCAAGCAAATCAGTGAAATCGACCAAACTGTTGTCACAGGTTTCTCCAATGCTGTCAATTAAATGCTGCTAGCAGCAGAAGTTTAGAAGATGTGAATGGTAGTAAAGAGCAAGTTCAACTTCAAATTAGCTAGCTAAAGCTAACCAGCTGCTACAATGCTAATCAGTGAATATTTATATTAACAGTGGACCTATGTTTAATCCCTATGTTCTGAGGGTCCTATGAGCATGTGTGTCTCTTGATATAAATGAACATTGTGAGAAATTGGTATGGACTAACTTTGTAGTTCAAATTGCAAAAGAACTTAAGGAAGATCTCAAATGCAGTGAATGGTAAAAAATACGTTCTGCCACTGTGACAACCATTGTCTTAAGTCTAACAACTATCTTGCCCGCAAATGTGAGAGCAGAGGTTTCAGGGTCTAACATCAGTAAGTTGTATAAGTTGTAGGTGGGTGATTTCAACAGATACTGAACATTTGACAAAGGGAAAAACATTGCTTAAACCCAAGTTTACTTAGAATCATGTTAAAGGTATGATTTTCACACCAATGATGTGGACAGAGCCTTCCCAAACCTAGTGTCAACTTCTTATAAAGGATTTCAATGACAAAATATTGGGATGTAGTGCAAAATACATCAGTGCTTCCATATTCATTTTAATATGACACACTAAAGTTTCCATTATGTGTTTATTCTGCAAGGGTTCAGGCTCCAACACATTCCCTAGTCATCAAAGAATAAACAATCTTGCTAAGTTTGCTAAAATAATAATTTCAATTTTAAGTAGCTATAGAATATTTACCACAGTGTAATATAACACATAATATATCTCCTCAAAGGGTATTTGTGTAATAAACAAAAAAAAAGTCTTGTTTTAAAAAATTAAAAAATTACATATCAGGATTTTTTTTTTTGTGCTTTCTCATCAAAAATGACTAATGGCAGAGATCAAAGCTAATTATAAATCAGTTCACAAAAATATCAAAAAGAGTATCCAGGAGTTTTGCTACCCGGTGTCCCATCTTGGCCTCTAATAAGGTGTTGAGGGCAATGAGGCCTTCTGATGGCGAGATGTTGTCTGGGCAGATTTCTGTGTACATACACGTTAAAGATAAGTCACAAAACAAACAGCACTGTGTGACGTTATGAAGGCTCAGTATGCAGGGAGAGTTTAAATCCTCACCGTAGTTTGTGTCTATCATTATGGGCGACGGCATCCGGAGACATTCTGCTTGTCTCTTGAGCATCACCAGATCAGCAGTTGAGACACTCTTTCTCCTGCCTGGAAATAAAGATGTTAGAGTTATAACAATCCCAGGAGATACATTCCAAAATAACATTTCAACTAAGAAGACTACCACAATCAGGAAACTTAACAAAGATACTAGGCAGACAGAGTAATCCGAGACAGTGGACAGAGGAAGTTCATCTCCATTTAACGCTTACTTTTTCTGTTCATGCGGTTACAAAATATAACCATTGGAGTTTTTTGCTGAAACCCAGCTGGGAAAAGTGCTTCCTGATTTAAATTGATTAATTCCACATTTTAGGACTGATAAGTGAGTATTTCTTACTAAAAAGCAGAAGACTGGTGAAAGTATCTGATCCAGAGATAACTTTTTCATAGACAACCAGACAGTCGGAGCAGTCAGTTGCCAGGTACACTTCCTTGAGGTAGAAAGGTTGCTCTGTGAAACATAAACACACACAAACTGCAAATCACAGGAAATTGTGTGTGTTTGAATGTTTTCAAGGTGTTGCAGGTTTCCATTCTATCCAATCCAATCTCTCTGATACACTGTGGCTCTTCTTTACTCACCAATTAACATCATGCTGTTTTCAAAGGTCACATTGTATGTCAAGCTGGAACATTCACCATAACTATGAAGAAAAAAAAGGTCATAACATAATATCTTGATTTTAGTAATATCAATGGATCAAATGACTGCATTTTACTGCAAGGTGTTGCTTGTAGTGATGAACCCACAGAGAATCATCACACGGCTCTGCAGCTCTTGCAGTCCCACAGGGTTTAGGGTCTTTCAGCTAGTTTCAGTTAGTTTGTGACCCTCAAATTTACTGGTTTGATTCACTCTCACCATCCTCATCAGGATTGTTTTTGGTTACAGCAGGAAGCTGTTTCCACTGAAATAGTTCTAAAATCCCATTATACCCAGAAACAGAAACACAGCAGCTTTCCCCCACTAAGCTATCAGACTTTTAAACTCAAATTCATTCTCAGCACTGCTCCATTAATTATATTTTATTTCTTTTTACCATTTTTACAATTGCTTTTATATTATTGAATATAATCTGCTACGAAGCAGAAGGGAGTTACAATCTCAGTTTCACTCTATAACCTGTTGTGTTATTGTGACAAATTAAATCTACCTACCTACCTAAATGTTGCTTATGATGCTCCAGATCTACTGGATGTGTTAATAAGGAACTGTTCACTAACATGCTCCCCGTAACAACTTTATAAGCTGATAGTGTGTTAATATTGTGTTTACAGCTTGCTTTCAGTGCTCTCCAAGTTAATTGATGTGATAAAGAGTAGGTGCACATACACCTTCGCTTGTCTCCTGATATACATTAGTATACAAACATATGTTAAAATACTGAACTGAAACTGAAGCTCTGCAAACTGCTAATGATGCGTGTTTGAATTTGCACTGAATTGCATGCTGTCAAACTTGCAAAAGTGAATAGAGAATATATCTCATTAACAAGATATTTATATATCTACAGATTTCCTACTTATAACATGTTTTTACAATAGCAGCAGAAGGTTTGTTTTGTAAAAACACATTAACTGGAAACATCAGGATTTATCTTTAGAAATTTGGGACGCTTATTGGTTGGAGACGTGTTGCTGTGGTGTCAGAGTGTGGGAGGGGATTTACATTCTCTGAGTCTGGACCAGATTGAGGATGTTGCTCTGGCTGGTTGCAGTGACATCCAGCCAGACACTGGTCAGCAGGTGGCCCAGGGAACGGCTTCCTGGGAGGTCAGAGCTCCCTCCGATGTACAGCCACCTCCCCAACATCTGCAGCACACAGACAGAGCACAGAATACACCAATCAGCCATGATATTATAACCACCTGCCAAATATTGTAAAGGTCCCCCTCTTTATACTTTATACCATATTACATAGTTCTGTCCTGGAAAGTATTTAGGACTATAAATTGCTTTTTTTGTTTGTTTATTCAAAGCTGACAGCAGTAGAGGTTGTGTAAATACGTATCATTGAAATGTATCTGATGAAACCAGAGGTTATTATTTTTTAGGTTAGATAAGCTGTTCACCCTTATACAAGAGAGGATGCACAGACTGCATTTACAGATCTCTCACTGGGTTGAAATTAAATATAGATACTTAAAATGCAAAGTCAGGCAGACGTGTACTTACGTCTTCATTGCTGATAGGTATTGGTTTAACCAGACTGTCACAGCTGCCCAGAGGAGTCGAGTGTCCCAGCGACAGAAGACTCAGCAACACAACAACAGCAACACACTTCATCCTCTAGATGGCTCTTATCTTGTTTTTTCTCTTTCCTTCTTGTCAGAGTCTCCCAGTCCACCCTCGACCTTTACTTTGTCTTCAGGTGTTTCTCTTCACGGCCTGCCACAAACCGACTGGCTGTGACTCACCAGCATATATTCACTGTCCTGTGAGCTGATGTAACCAAAGCAAACAGCCCAGTGGCAAGAGAGAGGGGAGACTTTGACCCGTTTGAGGAATTGATGGAATTTTGGATCTGATCACAGACAACAGGGTATTGTATGTATTTTGTTAATCTCTCTGATAATCCCTTCTGATCTGTCACTGAGACTCAAACACATGCAGTCAGTACAAAAATGGTTTATACTCTGTTCCTCACACCTTCATTTCATTAACATAACACCAGTCACTGTAGCAAAAGTAGCAATAGTACAAAGTAAAAATACATCTTTTGAAGTTAGTTCTCCAGTCAATTAATTAGCTACTTTGCTGTTATGTAATCTTTCTTAGCTTGCCTTGAGTTTCAACTTCCTGTCTCTGTTGCATGTTTTTCTTAACTTTTAATTCACGCGCGTGTGTGTGTGTGTGTGTGTGTGTATATGTCTATGAATTTCTTTGTGTGCATCTTTTCTAACCGTTGCATTTTATTGTGCAAACAAATCAATAAGAAATAAATATAAAATATAAGTAAAGTATTTAAGTACTTGAGTGTTTTAAATTGTGTAAAACAAATTTTTGGCAATGAGATATTAAATTACTAAACTAAAACCTTAAAATAATAATTAAGACTAATGTTTTCATGCATAAGTCCTAAAGGTGTTATGGAACAGCTACGGCTCTCGTATGCCAAATTAAACTCAAAACTCAATCCACAAGACCATGTAATACAGGTGAAAGCCTTGGAAAAAAGCTTGCAAGCTTTTTTTTTTTTTTACCACATAAGCAGCCTTTTAATGTTTTGATGTTCTTTTTTGCTTCACACGGTACACTGCTGGGAAATTACAATTTTTAACACATAATATTTTTAAGATGGCACATGATGAAAGGGCATAAAATTGAGACCTCAAATCAAACGTATAAATAAATACTACTAGGAGCTGTAAGGATTTTAGAAATACTAAGGTCACTGATTTTTCAAATTAAATATTAATCTGAAGTTGATATGAACTTTGTCCTCACCAACTGATAACCCCAGCTGTGCTCTGCCAGATGATCCCCAGAGATAATAATTTAAGCATTTAAGAATATGTTGAAATCAAACGTTACGTACAAAACAGATGCCTCAAAGTGCAGATGCACTGGAAATAAACAGAATCTCATCAGGTACATGATTAAGAGAACTTCCAGACGTTTGAATATGTATAAAAATACTCTAGAATGCTTGGAAAAATAATTTGTAGACATGGTTTACATCTTCTCTCATTCTCACTCTTTGCAGAAAAACAGAATCTATGGCTATGTTAATATTTTTAATTTAGAAAAAGTTTAACTGCTGGACACGAGATGTCTCCTACTTTACTGAGAATCCAGTCCAGTCTCAGTGTTTGTCCAGTGGACGGCTCAGATTGATGGTACGAGCATGTCTTATACTCAGATTTAAGGTGAGCAAAGAGAAACTTTCCATCTTCAGTAGGTGAACCTGAAAAGTCCCTTATAGTTACAGTGCAGCTCAAACTTCCAAGTAAGGTAAGAATAAGTTAAACACATTACTGAGTGGGGGGAGACATTAAGATTTCTGTGGTCACAACATTTCAGACTCCAAAGGTGATTTTTACAGTGCATAATTAAGTCTATACAGATACCAAAGCCTGTGAACGATTAATATGAATCAATATATGTGAAGAATTATTGGACCATTTATTCAAAAGAAAAAGTCACAGAAAGACATCTTATCAAAAGTGTTTTTTAATTGAACTTGTCAAACTGAGAGCTCTCTATAGATGTCTTCATACAGCACAAGAACAAAAAGGACATTAAACAAACAAATGACAGAAAAAGAACTAAATCTGCTGATCATCCTGATTATACAGTGAAATCTCTGAGCATGACCTAACTGTTACAGCAGTGCTCTGAGAGGAGGGTGGGGGAGCCGAGGAGAGAGGGAGGAGAGGGAGGAGAGGGTTGAAGGGCAGACTGATGCCCTGTGAGATGTCAGCTGGTGATGGTGAAAAAACAGATGAAGTAAAGGACACCTGCCCCTCCTTCCCCGCGTCCTCTGATCCGTCCATTCTCCGCATGAAGTGATGGTGAGGACGAACGACAGCGGGATGGAGGAGAATTGAGATTGATGGAGGGGCGAGTGGCATCGAACACTCTGCAATTTCCTGGTTTTGTGGGTCTGTGCTCATCTTCTCCCTCTCCTTCTTTCGCATCTTGGTGGGAGATGGAGACGGGGGGGAGGGGGGGCAGACAAGACCGGAGACAGACAAGAGAGGAAAACCAGGAGGTGGCAATCACTACTCCATAGCCTCCTGGTTCTCTTGGTCTGCGCTGATCTCCTCGCTGACCTCTTTACCCTCCTTGCTCCTTTTGCTCTTCTTGTGTTTGTGCCTCCGGTGGCTGTCGCCCTCCTCGCTGTCGTGCCTCCTCCTGCTACTGCTGCTAATGGAAGGAGAAGGACAGAAGTGTGGAAAAGGGCAAGGGAGGTGAAGAGGAGGGAGATTTGACAGGTAGGGGAAAGAGATCAGAGGGAAGAGTAAAGGGCAGACATGGGAAGGAGTGAGAGAGGGACAAAGAGAGACAAGAAGATCAATGGGTGAAAGAAAGAAAAGGGGAAGTGAAATGGAAAGGGGACCGAAAGGTTAGGAAAAAAAGAGAATGTGTTGGGTAAAAGACAGAAAAGTAGAAAGCATTTTGAATTTGCTGAGCCCTTGTCCCTCTCTGGTGCTGTTGCTAAGCTTGTCAGTCTTCCCATGCTCACAGGGCACATCTGCACTTTACAATGATAATGAAATGATGATGAAAAAAAAAAAAAAAAGGCTTTGGCTATCTCAGGTAGCATAGCACCTGGCACAAACATCTTTCTACAGCTACATGCACACTCTGTCTTGACGGGCCTTCTGTAGTTTTTGTGTGTGTGTTTATGTACCTGCGAGAGGACTTGTGGCGTCCCTCCTCTTTCTCTCGATGCCGCCTCTCTCTGTGTCTTTCCTCTTTCTCCCGGCTCGACCGGTCACGATGTCGCTCTGCATAACCACGCTCCTGGTACTCACGGTAACGGTACCGCTCCTCGTCGCTATGGAAGTTAAAAGAACAATAGCTTTCACTTTATTATGATAAATTTGTATGCTTACCATAAAAATCTGTTTCTAAATGCAGCTTTTAAAATCAGTCTGCGTCCGTAACTATGACTGCATTATTTACCTAAAAAAAAAAATACTGAAGACAAAAAAAGGGATGCACCAATCCATTTTTCTCATGATACCTTTTCTAATACCTCAACTAAAAGAACCACTCTGATATCAGTGTTCACTTTTTCCTTTAATTTAAAATCTGCTTCTCTCACAGTGTCAAACTAAATGGAATATTTATGTAAGGTAACATGAAGCCAGGGATATCTATGACACTAAAAACTGCTGCCAGTCTTGACCGAGTGAACGTAAATGGTAGCAGAAACACTGAACTTTATAATGATACTGACAACAAAATGAATTTAACGTGAATCTGATGCATCACGGCTGATACTCGATCTACTTAGTAGCATCAGCGCAGATACCGAAACGGTAAATCAGAATGGTGCATCTATAGACAAAAACTGTTCAAAAGTGTGTGTGTGTGTGTGTGTGTGTGTGTGTCCCTCTCACCTGGTGTAGCTAATAGCCGAAGGGCTGTGCTCCCTCTCTCTCTCCCGCTCATGTGTCCTCTCTCGGGGCCTCTCCCTGTCCTTGTCTCTCTTTTCATCTCGACGGGGATAGTAGTCCCAGGGTTTGGAGTTGTCCATCATGGGGGGCCAAGGAGGAGGTACACCTCCAGCCATGGGTGGAGGATATGCACCTGAAAAGGTCAAGCGGGTGGAAGACTTGGTTATTACATTGTGTTCAAATGTTTCCTGGAAATTTGACTTTGATCAAATCCAATTAGCTAAAATGATATAAATAACTATGAATGCAAATTTGCTTTGATCTTTCAAAATGCCCTTGTTTTTCCATATACACATCACAACAGATCTCTTATTAATGGACTGACAGCTAGTTCAGACATTTTTAATGTTGCTGTGGCTAGAAAAACAGATCACGTTGTAAAGCTTCCTACCTTGAGGGAATGGGTAGGAAGGGACAGATCGTCCATCATAACCTCCAGGGTGGCCACTGTGGAAACACAGGTAGAAAAGCAGCATGTTACAACGTGTGTGTGATTGTGAAGCGATTTAATCTCCTTTTTATAAACATATTCCATTGAATTAATGCAAAATGTTTACATAGACTTTTAATTTCAAATATTTTGTTGTGAAACTTTGTAATGAAGGAAAATATGAACATAAAACTTCTGTCATGTGACAAATTCATATGATTATGAATTTGGTTCTGAATGACCCCACAGTAATAAAGGAATCACTCCAGAGTAGTATAATTCTCTGTGGGTGACACAGACCTCTTATATTTTAACTGCATGTATACTTTAGACCCATACATTTTACTACATCTTAATTGTTATTCAGTTTTATTCTCTCAAATTCAAGTTAAAATATTTGACCTTGTTTACCTTAAAAATCAGCCTTTAAACTTGAAAGAAATAATGATTTAACATTTATCGTGATAATTATCGATATCGAATGGTATGAAATGTTTTTATCGTGATAACATTTTTGGCCATATAGGTGTGAATGTGAGTGTGAGTGGTTGTCTGTCTACGTGTGGCCCTGCGATGGACTGGCGACCTGTCCAGGGTGTACCCCGCCTTTCGCCCAATGTCAGTTGGGATAGGCTCCAGCCCCCCCGCGACCCTGTACACAGGATAAGCGGTTGACGATGGATGGATGGATTTTGGTACTCAGGTAAAAGAATGTGGTTCATGCAATGTGCAGCAGTAGAGTGTGTGTTTTACATTATATCACATGACACCAGGCTGCTACATAGTAACCACACACACCTCTACACACATCAGTCTGTTGCATCTCATTGATGTGTGTGCACATGGTGCCACTCTGCACCTTCC